ACCCTACACAATTTATCGGCGATTACTTTATTAACACTAGCATTATCGAAAGTAAAAGACTGAATTTTAGTTTCACAATTATATTCTCTAATAACACTGATAATAGCATTATATATATTTTTAGCATTGTAAGGAAACCAATAATTCTAAAAGCAATAATTTTTGTATGCATGCACCGAAGTGGGTCATATAGTGTGCGGTTGCAGCTATACATGCTTTTTTATTAACCACTTCTCATATATCAGAAGTTAAAGATATAACACCCCTATATTATTGTAAAGTCATAATTAATTGTTGTTTTGAATCATTGAAATATTGTATTGTATCGGAACAAAGAGTGTTTTGACTTACCCTAAAGTACCTCGGTTGCAGATATTCTTTCACGAATGAGATGAAATATTGGTTGTCGGCAATAGCCAGAGGCAACTCATTGGCAGCAACAAATTTCACCATTTCGGTTCGAGTATTGTCCTCTGAATACACCTACGTGGATAGGGGTGAAGTCGTAGAACCGGCGCCTGGACTGCCAAATTGCAATTGTATTTGACTAGCTAGAAATCCATGTCTGGCCACACATGCTTTGTAGTGAACCAATTCCTTTTTGCCATACCAATCTTTGTTAGCAGTATTTACATACTGTCTTAGATTATGCGATGCCATCAACGACTTTTTCCTTTGAAATCAACTTAAAGTGATCCCAATATTTTACTTATTTTTTCCCCTTTCACTTTCCCCTCACATCTGGGATGTTTATTTCGGCATCTTCGTCCTCATGTTCTGCTTCGAAAAAGTTAATATCATCCAAATCAATTGGATTATGGCTTCCATGACCGTAAATGTGAACATCTTTAGGTATGAGTATGTCATTTAGACCGGTAAATTCATTTGAAAATTGACTTTGCAACATCCTAGGCGATTCGCCATATGACCTACATCCCGTATCGAACAAGCTCTCAATAAATGAGTGTTGATCCATTTTTTTGATTGTTTGTGATAAAATCCAAATATAATAACTAGTAAATTATAAATGTAGTGAGAACTGAGAATTAGATGAATTGAAATTGTAACTGAATAAACTGTAAAAGATGAATCGATATTGGATATTTTGCACAACAGCACAAGAGAGAGTAAAAACTTGATAATTGATATAAAAGAGAGTTGAGAAGTGAGAATTGAGTTTTGATATGAAAAAAATTGGGGATTAGGGAGATATTTATTATAGAATAGAAGTGAGGAAAAAAATAAAAAAGTTCAGTAACCGTTTCGATGACCAAATGGTCACTGAAAAAGTGACCAAAACGATCACTTTTGGACTAGCTGCTCGACTCGTGCTTGTTTGGGAATGAGCCACGATCCGTTTGTAGGTGATCCAAGCCAGGCTCTTGATCTTACGAGTCCTATTTTGAAAAGTCAAGCGGCCGAGCCAACGAGCCGTTCAGCCCATTTGACATCCTTAAATGGGACACACCTTGTCGAAAATTTTAGAAGAATGTAATTCTTGCTAAAATCACAACTGATGAATATTGTGGAAAATATAATTTCTTATCGATGATTCCTTTTATACTTCTTAAGACAAACAGAAACTTAATTCCACTTAAAAGAACTCAATTTTCAATTAGACCATATTTTGCAATGACAATAAACAAATCATAGGGTCAAACATTTGATTTTGTTGGTTTGTATCTTCCAGAACCCTTTTTTGTCATTGTCAACTTTATGTAGCATTATCAAGAGCTAGAACAACTACGAATATAAAAGTTTTTGTGAAACCATCAACTACTAAAAATTTACACAGTAACATACAAAGAATGTTGTCTACAAGGAAATCATTTCTTTCATACATCCATAGAGCTATAACTTGGTTTCCTTGTCCATTATTGAAAAACTCCATGAATTTATGCAATCAAAATCATCGATGAAGCCATCAAATTTTATGGAATAAGTTACAAACAATTAGAAAAAAAGATGAACGTATTATTAGAGAAGCTCATGAGGTTAGTGAATTGTTGTCTTACAAATAGCTTTCTCTTAATCTAATGTTTTATGTATTATTTCATCTCACTTTTCCGCAGTACATAATTCTAATGCTCACATATTTTTTTATACAAGTAGTTTGGGATCTTTTCACTTCATATATTGTTAAAAAAGTGTAGTCCTCAAACATATTATAATTCTTACGAGTTCACTCCTTAGAGAAGAAATTCTTTTTCGAATCTTGTAGTTATTGACATTTCGTATAGTATGTATAGTAACAAAATAATTGTTTATACTTTTATCCTTAAATATTCTTGTTCCTTTATTATTATTATTATTTTTTTATTTTTTATTTTTTTGCAAGTTTACTTTCCTATTCATAATTAGCTTATTCATTTTCCAAATTCAAATTATTATTCTTCACAATTAGTTTTTGAATTTAACAAAAAATATTTTACAAGCACTTCAGTGGCATCTCTGTGGATGAAATGCTTGTATGTTGGGTGACACATATTCTTACTTGTGTTCATTTCCAGAGAGCAAGTCTTATTCAAATGTGTTTCACATTTTTTTATCCAACCTTTTAAATAATAATAATATTATTCTCTCATGCCTTAAATTCTATCAAATTATTCTAATTTCATTCATCATAATAATATGACTCAAAATTCTAAATGTCTTTTCTTTCATGATTTATAGTTTTTCCAAATGCAATTCTTCAATGATCAATAGTCAATTCATCACATGGAGAAAGATAGTTGAAGATAGTTGGTCGAACATTGAAATGAATAGTTCCAAGGTACAATTCACCATATTAAGTAACATCAAGAGAATATAATGCGAATTTCTACCCAAACCAAACAAAAGAATATTATAAATATTTCTTCAAGTTTTATTTCTAATTCCATTTCTTTTATTTTATTATCACTGCAACTGGCATAAACACATTTTGCCCTTCTTCTACCTCCTTTTTCTGCTTCTTTATAGTCTTTCTCATCTCTTTTTCCTTCTAGTGAAAAGATTTTAAAAATCCTTTAATCCATCTGAGATTTAACTTACCGTATTTGACCAATTCATTTACAATTTATTTTTATCATAGATGGGCCCGGTTATTGCAAATATGGGTGGAGCAAGTATTCCTCTTCATGTGGACAATCATCCACATTTTCGGTGAGTTTCTATTTATTGTTAGTAATGTTATAATTTATAAGGTAATTGTAAATTTATGAGTTGTTTTGTTCTTCGATCAATACTAAAATTTTTAGTTTTTAATTCATTTTTAAGTCCTTTCAAAATACAGGATTTTGGAAACATTGTCTCTGATGACTTCTACACTTGGACATTTCTTTTCAACAATTTGCATCAATTTTATCTAAGAGCCAATCCTGAATTGGGGAGACAGTTTTGAAAATGTTGTTGACAAAGTTTGATTTCCAACCATATGTGAAATAATTTCTCTAATTTAGTTTGGTAAGACCTCCAGGTATTCTCATGTGATGTAGTGGATAGAAGATGTAATTTTACTAGAGATCTTTGTCTTCCTTAGTTCATTGTGAAAATTTTTATGCTAGAGTTATTTATTTATTTATTTTACAACTGCATAAGACAAAATATATTTCACAATAATCCAATACATTTAACACACTAACATTACATTTTAAATAACCAAGCTCGTGCATTGCACAGACAAAGACTGGTAATATATATATAATATACACACACACACACACACATATATATATATGTGTGTGTGTGTGTAATCGAACCCATGAAATCCCCTCGTTGCGAGTATTTCTAAAAAATAATCTTTTTTTTTTTTTTTTTTTTTTTTTTTGGGACTCAGCTGAAATTGGGTTCACTTTTCTGATTTTATCTCATTTCAAATCTTGAACATGAGTTACAAAATTGAAAGCGTTATATATCCAATGCAAAAATAACAAAAAGGGTATAAAATGACAATAATCACAAAACTACAAATGGTCCATAGAACCAACCGTATTAAAATAACAACAAAAACAAACATATAATGGCATAACAACAGAAGCTATTAGTATTGGAGTCACCTAACTTTGGCTCGTCTTTTTTTAAAAAAAAATTTTTTTTTTTTTTTTTTTTTTTTTTTTACAGTTGGTTCATATAGATAGATATAGGATCAAAGGGGCAATTATTTAGAACTATCGAAATAGGTGGACAGAAATTTGGGGAAGATTGGGGAAGATGGAAGATAATGAAAGACAATATCGTGTGTACAACTATACTCTCTCGTTTGGACAACTGTATTATAATAGTATCACTTTTTCAAAGTAGAGGACTAAAACATGCAATGTATTACCATGTCATTATGAAGAAAGTCTCTATGAGATATAGAAGGGTTTGATGTCAGAGTTTACGAAAATTAGAGCAAAAACCAGTAGGGTCCTCAATCACATTCATCAAATCAACTCAATTGCGCAGTAGCAGAAAAGAGCACCAGACAAAATCACACTATCAAGAGCAAAAATCAAGCGCTCCCTCTTAACATTTCATCGAGGCTCTCACTACCTACACACAACATCCAGTTTTCCATTGTCAGCCATAATCGAGCAGCAAGAAATCACATCCATATCACTGAAAAACGAGCAACATCAATGTGACATCTTTTATGAAACCTCAGTAGAAAACTTCATTACAAGATAGTAGTTTTTCATGGTCCAAATTGAACTCCTGTGCTTAGAAACCTGACCTCAAACACTGGCCCCACCTCGAAAATTAGAGGTACCATAGAAAATGCTATATTATAACGATAAGCATAATGCATACCATTTATCCAGTAAAAAAATAATAAAAATGCGATAAGAATTGTACTTGATTGCTGTGCATGGGGGGGGGGGGGGGGGAATTTTA